ATCACTTCCCCCATGTTTGCACCACCCCTCATTGTGTACTTTTTAAAGCAGTATGAACCCCATAGCTCTATTTCCCTTGATCTCTCAAAGCACTGCTGGGCTGGAAATAAAGAGAATTGTTTCTGCCTCTGTGTGAGGGCTGGTAGAGAGCCAGGTAGCTGGTCACGAATGGTGGGATGACAAAGAAGAGCCTGTGACCCACGGATAGATCAAAGCACCCTCAGCAAATTTGCAGATGGCATCAAGCTGAGTGGGGTGGTTGGCACACGTGAAGGACAGGAGACCACCCAGAGGGACCTGGAGAAGTTGGTCCATGGGAAGCACATGAGGTTTAACAGGACCAAGTGCTGGGGCTGCAGCTGGGTCAGGACAGCCCCTGGTACCAGCACAGGCTGGGGATGAGCAGATCCAGAGCAGCCCTGCCCAGAAGGACTTGGGGTGCTGAGGGTGAGAGGCTGGACATGCCCCAGCCATGGCACTCCCAGCCCAGAGAGCCAAACATGCCCTGGGCTGCACCAGAGCCCCGTGGGCAGCAGGGCAGGGAGGGGATTCTGCCCCTCTGCTCTGCTCAGGGCCCACCTGCAGCTGCATCAGCTCTGGGGCCCAGCACAGGAAGGACAGGGACCTGCTGGGTGAGTCCAGAGGAGGCCACCAAGATGATCAGAGGGGTGGAGCACCTCTTTTACAAGGAAAGGCAGAGAGAATTTGGTTTGTTCAGCCTGGAAAAGAGAGAGATCTGAAGTGACCTAGTTGTGATCTTTCAGTACCTAAAGGGAGCCTACAAAACAGATGGAGATGGACAAGAGAATATAGTGACAGGATAAAGGGGAATGGCTTCAAACTCAAAGAGAGTAGGTTGAGATTATATATTAGGACAAAACTTCTTTACTGTGAGGCTGGTGAGGCACTGGCACAGGTTGCCCAGAGAAGCTGTGGATGCCCCATCCCTGGCAGTGTTCAAGTACATGCTGGATGGGGCTCTGAGCAGCCTGGTCCAGTGGAAGGTATCCCATGGCAGGGAAGTTGGAATGAGATGATCCCTTCAAACCCAAACCATTCTGTGATTCTGTGATTCACTGAAGCACCAGTGTCCAGGTAGCTGGGGGCTGTCTGGGAAGGGGAGCATAGGGAAAGATACCTTGTGATTATGAATTTGGATTCATTTCCTGTCCTTGCTGCATTTTATTCTCTTACCTGATGAAAGGTTTACCACTTCCAGTACTTTCCTAGTTCAAATCTCCTTGTATAACTCTAAATATTTTATCTGCCTTTTATGTTTGCCCCAAACTGCTTCAAATAAGAATGAGAAAGTACCACAGGAGTGATTTCCATCAATGTGCTACCAGCATCCCTGTCTTCATGCTAAAGTATAACAAATTATTTTTCCTCTTCTCAGGCATATCTTATTCTGATTTAAGTATTTGTAATAAGCTGGAAATTTCAGTGACTTGTGTGCTTACTCACCAAAGTATGTGACTTGCTCAGTGCTTACAGGGCTTGTTTTTGTTACCAGGTCATTTGAAGTTCAAAGCAGTTGAAGATCTTTGCAGCAGTCTTTGGGATACTGCTGTTCTCTGCAGGAAAACCCAGAGTAATTGAGAAATGTTTTTTTGAAGGTGGAATCTTCAGTAGCACACACTGCAAGCTTAAGGAGGACAATGTCCATTACAGAAAATTTCGGTCCAAGTGATTTGCTTTCAAAATAAGAATTTTTTACAAGAGAGGCTTCTGGCTAAATGATGTGGGGGGTGGGCTTCTGTCACCAGCTCTAGCAAATAGTAATGCATGGAGGGTTAATGGGTGTGCAGCTGGGATTTGTGTTACTTGCCCTTCCATAAATTAAGCACCTATGGCTAAGTTAGCCTGGTACTTCCAATGAAAAGGTAACTGAAAAGGCTCCTGAAAACAGGGAAACTGAAAATAAATTTCAATTTGATATCCTGGTTGTACTTGAAGTGTATCTACACTGTGTGTATTCCATGTGCATATATATTATATACATATATATAATGTATATATATGCATCCAATGGTATATGTGATACTGGTGGCCAACAGACAGCACATAGTGTTCACAAATGTTTTCTCTTTATACCTCCTCAATATTCCATTTAAGCACCATTCATTTTATATATGTCTGTTTCTGCAAGTAGGTAAAATCAGATATTGATGTTTAATATGTGTAGTAATAGGTTATTTATTCAAAGCCCTGAATAAGTAGGTTACTAATTGGATTTTCAGTTCACTGACCTTGTCACAGCTCTGCTGAGTTCAAGATGTTAAGAATATTTTCCAAATGGCCAAATCTCATATTTAAAATTCTAATGTATTTTACATAACATAAGAAGTTTTTAGTACCAGAAAAATTCCATTTTCCTCAGTCCAGTTTCAGGTTCCTAACCTGATTTTCTGGGCTTAATCCTCTTCCTGTTGAAATCAATAAGTACATTGTAATATAATGATTCACGTTCAAGGTTCAACCATAGAAAATTAAGGCTACATGCTGATTTTACTGCCATTGTAGAAAGATGATATCTTAAAATGTGTAAAAGTACAATAAACACTTTAACTCTTTCAGCCCTATTTTTTTTCCTCTTCAGACAGTCTAAACACTTGAAAAAGGATCTTTGTTTTAGACCTAGTGATGGCAAGGAGATAAAAGCTGAGAGATGCTATTTTGATCGGAATTTCTTTTGTGGTTTCAGATGCTTTGTAGTGGGACAGTCCCTTCTTTCCTTGACTAAAGCATGTTAAGCAAGGCTGAAAGTAGAGCACACTTTATTGTTTTAACAGAAAACAGTAGAATGAACACTATGGAATTGCTGAGCTTTGATTTGTTTAACACTTCGAGAGATGAGGAGAAGCAGCCCCAGGCAGTCTGTCATGCTGAAATGTACTGGATGTGCTGGGAATGTTTGGGTGCCCTGCTGTCACTGAACAGCCCAGTGGCATCTCATGCCCTCTGCACAGAGCTCCCCTGGTTAAGAGGGTCCTGTCAGGGGCTGGTGAATCCAAAGGTGAATATTTCAAAATGGGCTCTGAGATGTGCTTCAGCTCTCCTCAAATGGCTCCTCTGGAAGTTGTAAGTGGCACCTTTTCTGCTTTGCTGCATGGGATAACCACAGGGATATCAGGAAGGTGAATCCTGCCCTTGGCTGCCCCAGTAGGAGTGTGGGGGCCCTGCTCCCTGTGGATGTGCATGTGAGGAGCCTCTCCCACTGTTTTCCACCAGAGCTGTCTCTGAGGGTCATTAACATCCTGATGCTCCTTCCAGGGGATAAAAGTCATTATACATTCTATGGCTTCTGCTTCTTAAATATGAAACTGCCTGTTAATGGAACAAATGGACCTACAGCATGGACTTCAGGCTCTTTGTCATCCCTGCTGAACAAATGTTTTCTTCTTAACTTCAAAGTCTCTAGGAGAGGGAAAAAAAAAGTAATCTCCATCTCTTCCCTCTTGCTCACCCCTGAAGACTTTGGAAGTGAAACCCTTTCCATTAGGTTTCCAGTCTCATTCAGGCACAGTCATTTCCCCACAGCTGCTGAAGTCTTGTGTCCCTTTCTGCCTTGGTGGAGGACATGATATGTTCCTTGGTGAAATACAGCCTTTCCCCTTCTTGCAGGAGCTTGAGGACATTCTGTCCCTCTCCCTGCTTTTGGGACCTTGTATGGAAATACAGTATCTGGAAATGGGAGTCTGTGCCAGCTGTTTGGGGGCCCTTTCTTGTACAGAGGGAAAGGGAAACTGAGACCGACAGAATGAGAGATGTAGGCTTTTTATAGCACGGAGGCTTGTGGGAAACAGTGGACTGATCAATTAATATTTCCAGCACAAGTGGAAATATGTATTCTCAGAAGTGCAGTATCCAGAAAAACTTAGTCTGAGAACATGTGGTTAAAGTACACAAAGATTGTACAAAGACTGATTCCAATTCAAATGTATCCATTGCAGTATAAGATACTACTTCTTTTCTGAATCATCTGATCCACCATGAAAGGACTGCCAGATTGCAGACAGTTCCTCCCCATCCCCAGATTATGGTGTTTATTGAATCAGTAAGGATAAATTTTTTTTTTTTAAAAAAGCAATAGTTGATCCCTGTTAGACCAGTGCAACTGACTTGAGGAGAAAAAGGCTTTCAAAGGTAAAAAGCAGAATAGATACAGCTTGGTCTCCTTGCAGATGTTCTGCTCTGGTGGTAGAAGAATGGAGTTGGCAGTTTTGGCAAGGGTGGTGGGTACATCTGCTACAGGTCAGAAGATGTTCCCTGTTCCATACTTCCCAGTGAAAAGAAAACTGTTCCAAAGCAATGCAAACAGGGCTGGTGCCTCCCAGTGTCTTGGACTTCTCTACATGCTGTAGTGGAAAGCAGTGATGAGAAAAATTGAAGAATTTTCTCTAGCTCATGTGGTCCAAAAGAATACTAGTGCAAATGTGATTTGTTTTGGTGTTGGTTGTTTTTTTGGGGGTCTGGTTTGGTTTTGGTTTTGATTGGGATTTTTTTAAGATTCTAAGAAATGGTCTGATTCTACTGGTTACCAGATTGGTTTTTGTGATCTCTTGAAAGAGAAATTTGTATGCAGCTTACAGACACTACAGACAGCCTCAGACACTGAGAGACAGGACTCTGTGGTGACATAAAAACAGACTGAGACTCAGCTGACATTTTATTTTCAAATATGCTTTCAAGATCATAAATTGCTACTATACTAAGGACAAGGATTTTGCTTTCTTCTTTTGCAGATAGTGATTCTGGCTTGTTTGGTACCATGGAAGGAAGATTGTTTCAATGAGCTGGTATTGGTACTTTGCTTTCTGGACCAAAGCAAACTGAATTATTTTTAGACTGGTTTTGATGTGGCTGTGGGCTGCCAGTACACTTCAGGAATTTGTGTTGCATAGTTTTCCCAGCAATATGTAACCCTTGACTCCTAGGAGTGTAATACAATATATATCCTAGATAAAAACATCTCAGTGATAATGCAACCTGCAATCAGAGTGAAAGTTATGGAACAAATGGAAACACTTCCTAGAAAGATGCTACAGCTTGTACTTGCGAAAGCTTTGATGAATTAATGTGTAGTGATATCCTTACTCTTATTAGGTAAGATCTTGAAAATGTGAAATGTATGCAAATAGTTCAAAGTTATGGTTAGTGAGTATTATGAATGGAAGAGTGGCCTAAAAATTAAACACAGGATTATCTGGGAGTAGGAAGTGCTTGGCTCTATACAGTACAGTCAACATGTTGCCAGATCACATTGTGGCACTGAACATGGAGGGTCACAAGTACTTTTATCAGGGCAGTTTATGATTAAAAATGTTGAAAACCACATTAAACAGCTTTTTCCATTGGTAATAAGCTGAGTAGGATTGTTTTGGGATTTGCTTTATCGTTTGTTTTTTATTGTCTCTTTGGTTGTTTGTTTCTTTAAAAAGAAGATGTCATTTTTTTTTTGTCTTGACAGCTGGATTCTAATTTCTAACTTTGAGGAGGATATTGCTTGTGCACTTTCTGCATTTAAAAACATCTCTTCCTAAATCTATCCTGTGTTTGTCTGTTGGTATCTACAGATGAGATTTTAGCTGTCTTTAAAAAAATTATGAGACTGATTAATAGGCACACTAAGAGGGATGCCTATGAAGAGATATGAATATATATTTAATTTAGTATTTTTTTTTTTCCTATTTGCATGGTATCACTTATGGTTCAGGTTTTCAGTTGACATGTGTTTCCAGGCCTTTTTATTGGCATCCAGTTACAAATGAAGAGCTGGAGAATGCATGAAATTTCCCCTTGAGTCCTATTTGGAGTTAGACTGAAGATACATATTTTAATTGCAGAAATGCATTTCTGATGTTAAAACAGGGAACTTTCTGTGGTGGGGCCCTATTAAGGTCCCTTTCTATTATTTTAATTCTTGGTGTAGCTTTATTGTAGATTCATGTTTTGTATAATGAGCATGTTTGTGCATGAGTTAGATATGTCAACTTCTCATTTATTGTGCTTTAAATAGAGGGGAGAACTTGGAGGGGAGTGAGCCAGGACCCCTGCTCTTGAGAATGGGTAGGGCTGTTGTTGTAGCAGAGGATTTGCTGCAGTGTCAAAGTGCAGGAACTGGGTTTAGAGCAGGAGTGAAAAGGTAGTACATGGATCTCAGCCAGAGGCAGGCAACACGGTTTTACATGAGGGATGTGTACAAAGCCTCTTTGCATTGTAAATGTCTGCGTTAAAGGAAAACATAAAAGGAGAAAAACAGAAGAGTAAAGGAATTTATTTCAAATAGCTGGACTGTAGGTCTTGAAGGTCCATAGGGCTATGTCTTCATCATAACTTAGATTTGTGAAGCATTGGTTGGACCTGTATCCACAGCTTTGGCTTGGCCTTTCCCTTGGCTGGTTCCTCACCTGGTGCTGAACAGTCAGCAGTCAGCTGGTGACACTGCTTGCTGCCTGCACTTAGATTTATTTCTGTAGCTGCAATGTTGCTGGAGGGATGCTTACAAATTTAGAGGTGGAAATGTTTATTTGGATTGTCTTTGGCTTTAATGAAGCTCCTTCATCTCCCATAAATGCCAAGATAAGTATGCTGACAGCCAAGACATGCTTGGCATAGTTACTGTAGAGTTAGCTCAATAAGGGTTCTGGAAGACTTCTGGGAGCTTACTGCAGCAGGATCCAAGAAGGGAACAGGGCAAAGAGGGGCTGGAGCCATCAGTCCTGCATGCAGTCATCCCCATCAGGTGCTTGTTGTCCCCTAAGGACAGGTAGCTAGTGGCAGATGTAATTCATGGAAGAAAAGAATTAGTCAAGAAAACCAGCCTGTGCGTGCAAATGGATTCATCTTCCAAGAAATTATTACCAGGAAGAAGTCACTACTGATATCCAAACTGTCTCCATTACTGAGTTTATAAACACTTTTGGTAAATAAGAGGTTAATAACTCTGTTTATAGTAAGAAAAGACCCCTGCCCCAGGATACACACACTTCACTGTACCCAGATAATCCCTGGAGCAAGGAGGTTTAAGGTAATTTGTAGTGCAGCTGTCCTTTCCTGGAACATGAGCAAATTCTCCTGCACATGGTCAGCTGCAAGAACAAATGTCTATAGCAAATGAAAAAACAAGATGTTCAACCGCAGCCTTCTGCACTTCCAAGAGGGGCACGTGAGCCGGGCTGTTCCTCCTGCCGGAATCAAACTCCACAGCACGAAAGGGTTTAGCCTGCGGCTTACTGCCAAGTGGGAGCAACGTGTCAGCGGTGAGGGAGGAATGCTGGTGATGGAAACCCAACTGATTGACATACAGTGGCCATAAAGTCATAGTAAATCCATTGTTTTGCCAGAAGGAAGCAGGATTAGAAGATGTATAATTGTTACAATCCCTGCACTATACAGCATCAAGTGACGGTTGCTCTCCTGGTGCTGGTGTGGCTCATACTTGTGTTAATCCCAATGAAGTCTGTACTTGGGTGAAATCTTCTTATGCTCCATGTGGTTCAAGCCATGGCCATTCCTGTGTTCTAGCCAAGAAATGCCTCTATGGCACTGCAGAATTTAGCTCAGTATTTCCAAGGAGATGCTTTCTCTGTTGTGTTGCTGCAGACACCCTCACACTGCAAGTGGCAAGTTTAAAAATTATAATCTGGGAACTCATTCCCAACAGAACTGTTAACAAAAATGTAGCTAATCAAGAGAAGAAGAATCCAGTTCTCTGGAACAGCTATCTTTTATCTAAAAAGAAGTGAAAGTAAAACCAGATAAGAATGTCACTAATAGCTAGAGGCCAAACTTGCTCCTGATCAAGCTGAGCTGAAGGAAAAGTTGCATTTTTCAGAAACTTGCGTGGCTTGAAGAAGGATGAGGGGTAAATGGTATATGCAGCCACACCTTCAATTCCTTATTGATTGACAGACAAAACAATGGAGATATCCAAGTTTGTTGCATTTTTTGGATGCCTCTTAAGAGATGCAAAACTTCTGTATTTGTATTATATGTTGCCCTAAATATATGGGTTTAGATTGCTGCCTTTTCACTTGCCTTGCTGACTCTCTTTGCACAGGATACAGAGATCTACATAAGCACAAATCTCATTTCTCCCTCCCAAGCAGACATGGTGGAGAGAAACCCTCAAAGAATTTCCTACTAAGTCTCTAAAATAGTTTCAGAGGGGTTTTTTTGCGATGAATGAAAATGTTTGGTGAAATATTGGAGTAGATATATTATGGATATTAACAGAAGTTGATGGTTTTCACAGCAGTGTGCACTGTCTGTGTTGCCATTTGGGGTTTGACCTGATGCTGACTTCTTGCTGCTGCATGTACTGATGTTGTTTTGATGATGTCTTTATATTGTAACACAGTGCCTTTTGTAGTTGAACTGTGGCCTGTTTTCTTTCTGAATGCTGGTGATATTAAAAGGATGGAACACTTCTCTACATGCACTACTGCATGGGATGGGAGAAGGTCTGCCTGATACCTGCCAGAGAACAACAATGGAAAATCCATACTGGTTGATGTCTGGGTTTTTCTTACTCTTGATGCTCAAGAACAGCAAGTGTTCTTTGTTTGTAGGGTGATACAGACTGCATGAGAGGATGCGAAGTGGTTCCCCTATTAGTGTCCATAACAGGGGGGAAAGGAAAATTCTAATTCCTTTCCATTTTACACTTTACTCAGACCTGAGGTACCTGTGAGAAGGGCTTTTGCTACCTAAGGACTGCACCTACGCTGGAGTACTACCTGATGTGGGATTGGGAATGTGCTACTGGAATACAGCCTGCAGCTGCTCAGAGACTGTCTGACAACGGTGATTCAATCTTCTTTTTTGCTAAAAAAGGTGGAGGAGTTTGATAAACCACAGGCTTTAGACTAAAATAGTGATATATTTTATATACAGTGAAACTACTTCATATCTACTTCTTCCTTTTTTATGAAACAGGATTATTTTTAACTAGATTACCAAATCCATAAGGTTAGTGTATGTTTATGGCTACCCTGAGCTGTACTTAGGAGTCCTTTTTATTGAATGTGGCCAATCCTTGCCTTTTACATAAGCAAGCTAGGGCTGTCACAGATCTTGTGAAAAGTGAAAATACTGGGGGTTTGCATAGGATTTTAAGAGTTTGGCAAGTCACTCTTTCAGTTTAGAGTGGAAAAAATTAATTAAGCTTTCTGTTAAGGAAAACTTTAAGTTATTAAACCATTTTGTTCTTGGAAAAATCATTAAAAATGTTTATCCTTGAGTTTCCCTTTTTCTGTCCATACTGTCTGGATCAGCAACACTGAAAGTTCCAATATAATTTCAAAGTAAAATTAGGTATTCCTCCTACTTAGGAAGTTAAAACAAGATATTTTGATGTGAATTAAGTTTCAGCATCTTAACCCAAATCTGTGTTGTCAGATGTAGTTTTTTCCCAAAAGCCTTGACTTTAAAATATCCCTGAGTTCAAATCAGAGATAGACAAGATGAACTTATTTTGAATAAATTTTAACAACAGTTGATTTTTTTTCCTGGCGTGAGAAGCTGACAATATGAGCAGTGCATGACAAGTACCGCATGGGGTCATGTATGTGTTGTTTTGGGTTTTCTGGTGTGGGAATACAAGTCTTGAAGATAGAGCTGTCATTTGATTTAGGATCAAATCTCAGTCATTTGATTTAGGATAGAGCTTGCTTTTGTATTAATTGGTTGTGCTTTGTGTATCTTACTTTTGAAGTTTATTGTTCTGAGTTTTTTTCAATTTGGCATTTGTAAGCTTGGAATAAGGAGCTTCTCTTAATATTCACTTTGAAGGTTGAATTTGGTTGAAACACAGAGCAACTCCTTTGTTTAAATGGGGTTGTGCTGGGTGAATACCAGCATAAATCTGGACATGAGCTTTTGAAGAAGTCACTTGACTTCTCTTCTTTGACCTCTCATTAAAATGGAGCCAGGCTCCACTAAGAAATTCTATCACGACAGTGGCTATTGAGATCCTTGACTAGATGGTGGAAGGGAAGAATCCAGCTTCAAATCAATTATTCTGATAGGCACGAAAGCCCTGAAATGAATGAAACAGCAAAACAAAAAAGCAGAGAAGGGGAACTCGGAAGAGCCATCATGCAACCTTGGGTTTATGCAAGCAGCTCAAGGCACTGAGGTGATGCCGGGAAGGGTTAACTCGGCAGCAGCTGGCCACCAGCGCTCGGTCCTTATCTCACTCTTATCCTCCACTATTAACTGGCCACAATTCCAGGCCGTATCGCTTACTGCCATCTGTTTTTTCATGCGGCGCTGGTGGGAGCGCGGCCAGCGTGGGGGATTAGGGGCAGAGAGGCGGGCACGGCCTAACGCCGCTGCGGCGCGGCCCAGGCCGCAGGCCCCGACAGCTGCGCACAATTAAGCGCAAAGATAAACTGTGAAGGCGCTTTCAAAGCTGCTGCGGAGGAAGGAAATGCATTTCTGCCTGCAGTTGTAATGCAGGGCTTGTGCAGAGAGAGATGAAGCGTGAAGCGAAGGTGGGCAGTGGTGGGGTGGGGTTTTGGGTGGCCTTGAGCTTCCTCTGGGCCTTGGTGGTGATGCGGGCAAAGTCCCTCAGGCAAGCAAACAGCAACAAAAACATGGATATTGGGCATGTTGAATAGCAGGGGAAACCATCTCATGCTGCTGATTAAAATACCCCTTCAATGCCGTAGAAATCACTGGTTTTTCCTATAGAAATCACTGTCTTTTGCCATAGAAATCACTGGTTTTTGCCATCGAAATCACCGATCTGGGCTCACGCTGAAATCCAGGACTGCTTCAATGTGACCAGGGAAGGCGGCACATTTCAGTCCTGATTATCAATGCTTTGAGAAGAAACAGGACTTTTGACAAATATTAATTGACTGCAAAGCTATCTTTCTAAACTTCCCAAGTGTTAGACCATCCTGCAGTAATGCGAGAAAGGAAACATTTTCAGCATGATACCAGGGATTCAAGAACCATTACAGCTCAACAGCTGTACTTTGATTCCAAATTTTACTAAGACCAGATTAATTAAATTATTCCAAAGTACAATATACTGCCAAAATGAGGCTCTCTGGTATTTATTATTTTTGGTAAATTAAATTAAGGGTAATACAGAATTTAATGTTGGAAAATTAATGCTTAACTAATATTTAATGTACTTTCTTAATTTTTAATTAATACACGGTAGTCAATATTATAAGGATTAACATCAATAGAAAAGCAAATCTAATTATTTAGAGCTCAAAAGTTAGAGAAATAACTAGAGGTGCTCTGTACTTGGAAAGCTATTCTTTCCCCTTTTCTATTCCTGATGAACTTGAGTAACAAATGGTGGACAGGGGAAATCACATTGTTATGCCTTTTGACTTTTTCATCATTTCAGGTCAGCTGATGTTTTTTGGACTGATGCAGCACTGATGACGGGAATGTGATCTGTGCTCTAGGTTTGGAGGTAGGAGGGAGTAAGTTTTGGTTGTGGGGTTTATTTTCCTCCGTAAATGCCTAGAGTTTCACTTAGTATTGAGAATAAGATGTACATTAGAAGCAAATTTAAATTGATGTTGCAAGCCAGTAGTATTAATTTTACATGTAACTACCTTCTTGTTCTGTATTTAAGTAATGATAGATCATTACTGCAGACTTATCTGCCTACAGTATTTTAAGCTGAAGGATGTAATAAGTTCCTAGGTCTTCACATAAACTTCCCTTCTTGCTTCTATCCTAGTTCAGGTAATTGCTGAAATAATGTGTTTATTTTTATACTATAGAAGTAGATCATTATTATTATTATTCCTGTGCCCAAATGGGATGTAAAGTAGTTCAGCATTTATATAGAAATGTTCAGGTAGGTTGAGAGTAACTTTTTACATCTCTGTGCATGAATGAAAGCTGATGTTGAACTCTTAGGTCCCTTGAGACCCAAGGTTAATCTGCCAAGAGGAGTCATAATGTAATGGTAATATTTTCCACCTGTTTAAATCAGTTTATTAATTTTAAAACTTTGTACCTTCTTTTCTTGACTATTTATGTAGAAATACTAGTGTGCCCTTCACTTAGTAAAAAGAACATGAAGGAATATGAGCACTATATCCCTTTAGCTCCTGGAATATGCCTCTGTCAGAATTTCTTCCAGCATGATTAAAAGATGTGAAGAGCACAGAAAGTTATGCTATCTACACAAGGGCATGTCTCAGGCTTCTGTTGTACCCAAGGCACAAATTTAAACTCTTTAAACATTTTTTGATATTTACCTATTTGATAATTGCTCCCTTTCTATGCCTCCAGCTATGCGAGGGCTGCATTCCAGAGCTTTATTGTACAGTGGAAACATCAAACTCATGGATGCAAGAAAGGACGTGATTGTGTGATGGTTCATGGTCTGCCTGACAGTAATAAAATTAAAAGTTGTCCCCTCCTTCAGTGTTTCACTGGAACTTTCACTTGAAAGTGGCAGAAAATTTTAAAAACTACTGTGGAAAGAGCCTTTACTTAGTTGACAGTGCTGATGGGCATTGAAAAAATACAGCTGGAGATCCCAGTCCAGGGGGCCAGACTGAGCTGTTGGTGCTCTCTGGGTATGGGAAGAACTAATTAATGCCCACACTGCCAAAACTAATTAACACCCACACTCCTTCCAGGGTGGCAGCATCTCACAGCCTGGGGCTCATGGTACAGTGGAGGAGTGGAAATGATTTGTGAGTGACTGGAGAGTTCAGGGGTAGAAATGATTTGTGAGTGACTGGAGAGTTCAGGGGTGGAAATTATTTGTGAGTGACTGGAGAGTTCCCTGTTCTCAGCACTCTCCTTCACGAGATGTCATTTGGGGTTTTGAAAATGGGGCTGCGGCTCCTGCAGTGACTCTGCCCAGAGTGAGTGATGGCAGCATCCAGGGGAAATCAACAGCAGCATCACATGGTTGCTTTCTTTTATTATTTGTCTGTTCTCCTCAATCTCCCTGGTCCTGTAGCAAGAGAGGAGTAAGTTTCCTTGCAGTGGACTCAAACCATGGAAGGTGCTGTGGTTCTGAAGGCAGTCTGTACTGCCGTAGCTCATACAGGTGGTGAGGGGGGAAAAGGGGAGCTGAAATTATGTTCTTGTATTGCCTTTCCTGAAAGCAGTGGTTGCAGGGAGAACTTTAGTCCTTCCCCACCTCAATATCAGCCTGGTGAGGGATCTGCAGCAGACACTGAGGTGGGCTTGCTGCAGGTCCAGCCACGTGAGGCAGGGAGAAGACATCCATGTTTAACAAGGCATTGAACATTGGCCAGCCTCCCTCAGCTGTGAGGCAAGAGCTGACTTCCACAGGCCATGGACCACGAAACATGATCTCTCCTTGCCCTAGGGAAGGGATCTGGTTACTTTTCCAGAGGATGACATGGACTGATGTTGCACTTGGCTAGATAGATGGGGCTGAGCTGACACCCCCTCACCCCTGCAAATGCTTAATGCCTCTTGACTAAGGGCAGTCACTTCTAAACTGCAGAAGATGTATGGCTGTAGGCTGAAACCAATGGATTTATTTCCAATTTATCCTGTGGGCATGGAGGCACTCCAGATTGTGTTTTCTGGTAGTAGGGAAAAGAAACCTTATTCTATTTTCTCATTCTATTTTTCAAAACACTTTTGCATGATCCTTTAGATATTTAAAGCAACTCTTGAGTTAAAAAATATGTTCAATTTCTTTATAAATATTACTACATTAAGTAGTTAAGGACATCAGAGAGCAACACGCCTAAAATCTCAGTAGTGGAAAAATTAATGTACACTTGTGAAAATTAATGGTAATAATATGGTGTAATGGGATAACTTCACCTTAACTTTGTCTTTTAGAGGGCTTCTCAAATTTTCATAAATTATGCTTAAACAACAGACACAGCAGTTTGAATTCAATATGAAAACTGAAACTGGGTTTCAAACTGAATCTCACTCAGATTTCTTTTTAATCTTCTCCCATAACTGACTTTCCACTTGAGGAAGAAAGTGGATGTTTCTTCATCTGTTTTCATTTTGGTTTGTTTTGTTGGGTTTTTTTTTTGTTTTTTTTTTTTTTTTTTTTAATACTAATACTAACTAAAATGATGAATCCATAAAACTGATGTCAATTCAAGACCTGGAAATTATGAGGCACTATATCCCTTTAGTAAATCACTGCTAAGTTTAGGTCACTTTTTTGTTTAGAAGTTTGTATCTCTGTGTTTTATGGTGTGTTTTGGTTTGGGATTGGTTTTTGCTGTCATGGTGAGCCATGGTTGAGGTGAAATGTTAATTATATTGCATTAGAAGGCAGTTTCTTCAGCAAGGAGTTTGGAGCCAAATGAAAGGGCTTTGAGGAGTTCAGGGACTGTAGAGGGGGGTGATTGGAAGCAGTGTGGAGTCTGCCCTGGATGCCCTGTTTACATGAGTCTGGTGGGGTAGGTGAGTGTAAGGATGGAGCTGATGCCCGTGTCATTCAAGCATCCCATTTTATAGCTTTTTAGGTAGCTAAGTTGCTGTATTAGAAAGAAAAGTAAATCCTTGCTGACATAAAAATAACTCTTAACAGTGAGGCTGAAAGAGAAACTGTTATCCTTTATTCAGTGAGTGTTGACAAGCTCAAGACTTTGAAATGCAAGTTCATCGTCACCCACAGCAGAGAGGAGAGTACAGATTAGACTAATCAAACCTGTTGCCATTTGTTCTGTTGAAAAATGAGCAATTGAAGGTTTTTAATCCAAAAGGGTTCAGGTAAAATCAAAACTCAAAATAAATAAATATTTATGTAAAATAAAAAGGCTGTTAGAATCATTTCAATAGGGCAAAAGGCTTCACCTGTGCATCCCTAGTAAATATTCCTAATCAAATATTTCTCTTCTAATGCCAGCATGACTTTGAATTGTTTTTCGTGGTAGGAATGCATAACATTTGGTGACTTCTCCCATTTTCTCACACGTTTTGCCTTGTGCCATGTGGCTGCAGCATGAACAACCTGTGAGTTTCTGTGACTATCTTGATTATGCAGACTGTGTTCTATACTGCTTGTGAAGACTACCTGTCTTTAATAATACTGGAATTTCTGTGTGGCTTCTGGGAAATTATAACATTTGTTGCTATGGTGGTGGTTTTTACATGAACTGACACTTTGCATGCTCTTGGCTTGATGTGCTGGGATGAAGTGATAAAGTTAAGGCACAGAACAAGGAGTAATGGTTTTAGACTGAAATAGTGGAGACTCAGACTGGACATAAGGAAGTCATTTTTTGATGAAACACTGGAACAGGTTTCCCAGAGAGGCAGTACATGCCTCATCCCTGGAAACATTCAAGGTCAGGAGGGTGGGGCTCTGAGCAACCTGATCTAGTTGAGAATGTCCCTGCTTATCACAGTGGGATTGGGCTAGATGACCTTTAATAGTCCCTTCCACCCAAAATGACTCCATGAGATAGCAGGTCCAGCACACGGATGAGAAGAATTCCCTTCACATGCTTCATCATATCTTCAAACACTTCTATTTCTAGGTGTTAATGAGAGAACAAACAATGGTATGAACCCAGAAACAGTTTCTTGCAGCTGCCATATTTATTAGATCCTTGAAAATCCCCTCGGTACTTGGTTATTACATGCTCCACACAGTGCTACTTCAGGCAGTGCTATGGAACAAAGCATTTCTGAAGGTCTCAGCAAAAAAGAAACCTGTCATGAGGAGCTGATGACTGAGAGGGTGAATTCTTTGCACTGGAGCAATGCTGCACAGTGAACCCTGGTGTATAAGAATGGGGCTGGAAACAATTCATGGCAACCTTCACCCCATGAAGGAAAGATGTGAAACAAGAATAAGTTGCTTTTTTTTCTTTAATTAAAACTTCAGGTGGTAAAACTCTCTTACATTAGACCTTCTGAACAGATCTCAGACAAAGATCATTGTATCAGATTAAGCAGTCCAAGGAGCAGTTAACAGACAACATGGTGAAAATGTTTGGATTTGTGTTTTGTTAAGGTTTTTAACTAAAATGGTGTCCTTTTCAACCAGCTTCTTGGCACAGAGGCAGGGAAGATAAAATACAGACTCAAAAATCATCAAACGTCCTGGTTTTACTGGGCCTGTACTCCATGTGCAGTTAGAAAAATCCTTGGAGGGGAGGACCAGAGGAGAAAGTCCATAAACCAAATCTGGCTATAGGGTGCCCTTCTGGCCCATGGCAATGCAGCTTCACCCAAGGAGTGATGCAGTGTGCCATTAAAATGAGTTTTATGCAACTGCATGTGCTCTCAATGCTACCAAGTGCTCCATAGTTTCTGGATGTATTCTGTGCTTCAGAGAAGTACAGCAGTGCCCTGAGGGGCCAACAAGCCCTCACTGAACATATTTTCCCAGATGGAGAGAAGGATCTTACTGTGGCTCTTGGCAAAAACATTGTCATTTTAACACTGCAAAGGGTTAAAATGTTATCAATTTCAATTTTAGGTAATTTCTCA